CTTAGAAGACTGGCTTTTCACAATTAAAGGAAGTGCCAGGTTTATTTTGTCCACCAAGCCCTTGTTCACGCAATTCCTCCTCCTTGGAAGCTTCACACACCTTCATCCTCATCTGCCAGCTGAATCTTGACTTCTCCCTGACACCTCATGTGACCTCCTCGGTCTGTACTGAGTTGTCCTTGCTTCGTCCCCACGTGGCATTGCTCATGTACATGCGTAACTGCGTTCCACACTGTCTAGTCAGATATTGCTTGAAATAGTAAGGTCTTGTTTGGCTGATGATACTGTGTGCTCCTAGGGGGACAGTGTCACAACTCCTTGGCACTCTATGCATTGTAAATGTATTTATTATATATTTACAATCATACAGCTTATGGCCGTGTGAGATTCTAGGGGATTTGGTTCAATTGCCCTATCTCATGGACAAGGAAAATTAAGTTATAAAGAGGTAAAGTAGTTTCTCCTAAGGGTTGTGGCTAGTGTTACAGGTGAAGCCAGAATTAGAAGGCAATGTCCTGATTTCCAGCCTAGTTCAATTTCCATTCTTCCTTCCTTCATTGGACAAATATTTATTGAGCATCTTCCAGGTGCAGGCACTCTGCTAGGCCCTGATAAGTCAATGTTGAGCCTGTCTTGGAACTTATACTGTGGTTAGGTAGGAAGATACTGACAAGTTTCCCACAGATACGGGTACACTGACTACTAAACTAAGTGCTATTAAGGACTACATTGTTCTATGAGAGTTGGTAATTGATGAGAAATTTCCTTGAGAAACTGACTTTTACTCATAGAACTGGGCATTGTATTTATATGTACTTCTTAAATGCAATTAAATTGGACAGGTATTTTTTGAGTGCTTACTCTGTGCTGGGCCCCAAAGGAAATCAGAGCTAGTAATCTACAGCCCCTTCCATCAATATATAGTATAGAAAAGGGTTAAGATGTAACTATTAACAGAAAGCAAAATGTAGAAGTTCCATGGCTCGAAGAACACCAAGACCACATTTTTTTTCCTTTTTTAAAAAATTCAAAATATTTTAACATTTATTTGTACATATTTGTGGGGTACAGTGTGTTGTTTCAATACATGCATATACTGCACAATGATTCACTTAGGGTAGATAGTTTACTTTTGTACCCATTAGTCCACCACTTCCCCCCCCACCCCCCAACCCGCTTCTGGTAACCATTATTCTACTCTCTATTTCTATGGGAACCACTTCCCCCCCCCCCAAAAAAAAAAAACTCCACACATGAGTGATATCATGCAGTATTTGTCTTTTTGTGCCTGACTTACTTCATTTAACATGATTACTTCCAAGGATATCATTTTTTTAAATAGCTAAGTAGTATTCCATTGTGTGTCTATACCACAGTATTTTCTATCCATTCATCCATTGATGGACATTTAGGTTGCTTCCATCTCTTGGCTGTTGTGAATAGTGCTGCGATGAGCATGGGAATGCAGGTGTCTTTCTCAGGTATTGATTTCATTTCCTTTGGATGTATACCAGTAGTGAGATAGCTGGGCAATAGATCTGTTTTTTTAGGGAGGAGGAAATCAGGAAGAACTTCCTGTAAGAGATGGTGTATGATACAGCACCTGAACAAAAGCTCCTTAAAGAAGTTACACAAGGGAGAAGGGAAGACATTCTGGATGTAAAACAAACCAAGCAGAGATCAGTCAAAATAGGAAATTACAGGAGTTTTCAGGCAATAGAAAGTAGTTTAATTTTACAGAAGCAGGAAAGTTAGAACTTTACCCATTATTGAGAACATTATCTTTATTTAAATAACCTTAGAGTCCACTGGAATTAGGAATGGAAAGGCAAATATTCTCTCTTGTTTTCACTCCAGAAAGCACATAATCCTGTCCTTTGTTTGGCTGCTGTCTATAGGGACTGTTACACACACACACACACACACACACTCTCTCTCTCTCTCTCTCTCTCTCTCTCTCTCTCTCTCTCTCTCTCTCCCTCTAGGCAGAAGCTAATTCCCTAACTGCTGTATAGCCTGGCGTCTCACTGGGGTCCGATAAACATTTAATCTTACTGGTGAAGTGTTGTATTAGAAAAGTGTCTGGTATGTTAGAACTGTTTTCCCTGGCAGAAGACAACTACTCTAGACACAGACATAGGACCTTTTGCAAATGATATGGCTGACCTAGTATAGTGAATATCAAATTCATTTTAAAAATACTACCTACACTGACCTATGTCACCCTATAGCATTTATGCAATTCAGAGAGGGGTCTTAACCATTTCTCTCTATGAATAGTAGAATAGTTTGTTTAAATATTATTGTAGTAAAGCACTGGAAAATTCTTCATCCATGAGCATATGTTAAACAGTACCCACCTACTGTATTCCAGGTTCTGAGCAGGAACATACATAATATTATTGGTCAAGCTTATTGGGAGAGGAAATGAAGAAGAATCTTTTAGAGTAAATGCTGCAAATGAGCAGTCCCCAATCCAACTCAGGCACAGTAAGGTTTTGTCTTTTATAGAGTTTCCAAGATTTAAAATTAAGTATAGATTTTTGGCTTTCCTTGTTAATTGGAGGACCACAATAGGTCTAAATTCCCAATGGCAACAATTGTTTGGAGCTAAACAGCAGCTGCCCTCTTTAATGAAGGCATGCATTTCTCAGGGTGCCATAGTCCTCATCACTCCTTATTGTCTATATCTAACCAGTTTTACTCATTTCTATGGCCTGAGCCTTATGAACATCTGTTAATGGCCCTGCTTAAGAGTGACTGTTGCCTCTGTGGCCTCCTTCTCTTTAGTCTCCAGTAGCAGTCCTGTGGCCAATTGGGCAATTAATTATGAGCACAACAACTTGTATCTATGTGGTGCTTTATAGCTTGCAGTGGCTTTCAGACTTTTGCATGCATCAGAATCACCAGGAGGTCTTCTTAAAACAAGGGTTGCTGAGCCTCATTCCCAGAGTGTATGATTTAGCTGGTCTGAGGTAGGATAAGTAGATTTGCATTTCTAACAAATTCCCAGGTGTCATTGATGTGGCTGGTTTGTGAGTCACCACTTGGGAACCACTGACAAACAGTATTGTAACTGATTTGCACAAAGCCACATGAGACTGGGGTATGGGGCAGTATGTTTCCCACTAAAAATAATGTTTGGAAAGATTAAGCAGCTTACCTAGGATCACATGAAGAAACAGTCAGATTCAAAATCGTGATTTTCCACTAAATCTAGCAGGAAATCACCCTGCATGTACCCCTGCTTCTGCCCCCCACCCACACCCCAAGATTCACAGAATCCTCAGGAGGACCCTGTAATAGAGATGTAGCCATGAGGAACCTAATTTGGGATTATATCAAGTGTGACCGTTGACGTGTGTCAGGACACAAAGAGTTAGAACTTGTTCAATGACTGAGAGCAGAAAGGGAAGGGTTGAAACTAGATGGTGGGCAGAGTGGCATATGCTTGGAGGTGGTCCGGTTCAGCTAACAGAGAGCAGATGGGTGCAGTACAGTTCTGGGGATCCAGGATGCTCAACATGGAGTAACAGGTGCTCCCAAGCCAAGCAGACCACAGCATTGGGGGCTCACTGGGGGAGCCAGTGATACTCTGTTTTCAAAGGGTGAGTGTAAGAGGGAGCTATGATTAACGGAGGCCCCACCTGGAGTGGGATCCAGGAAGAGGACTCCAGGCTGGTAAGATCACTGGTGGGATGACAAGGCAGATGGCCTGGACAAGGACTAAGAACAGAAAGCAACTACAGGGATCCGTTTTTCAAGATCAGGATACAGAGTGGAGCTAGGACTTCTTAGTTACTAGATCTGATTGTCACAGAGCAGAACTAACAAAAAAAAAGGGGAGTTCTTGAGTCTCAGTGTGTTGTGCTTCTTAAAACCTTACATCAAGATTAGTCTATTGACAGAGGGCCCTTCCCACCTATGGCAAGAGAAAGAAGATAAGGATTGGGAACCAGGCAGGGCCTAACATGGATTAAATTTATTAAAATTCTATCTGCTTACTATAAGAAATGAATAATTTGGCCACATTGTGATCATGATAGCTATTCACTAACCTTGTTTAAAAGTGTGCATTACTGTACAAAATCAGACCTGTTTCAATAATTATCAGCCATCTGCCTCCAATTTCCAAGGTAATTAATTATATTTGTTTATTTGCATATTTATGTGTCTGCATAATTTGCATATATATTATATTTCATGAAACCTAGTTTGATTGGGATTGTTAGGCATTGGTGTATTCTGGCTAATTTGAGGGTCGACCATAAAACATTTTTTACTTCAATCTTGTTAAAAAAAATTAAATCTCTATCTTTTTTCTGATAAATGTACTATAATGAAAATAACAGAATTCCTTTTTGTTGTTAAAAAATTGAATTGGGTCCTCCATCTGATAATGTAGATAAGGCAGATCTAAATATTTTGGAAGTTGGCATATGTGGGAGTGGAGGGGGAATTGTTATTGTTGTTCAAATTAAAGCATTAATATTAACTGTTCTTCTAGTGGCTTATCCTAAAAGTGACTATGGAAACTAATCTTGGTTAGTTGAGGATTCTGATTAAGTTTTAGCTAAGACACATAACACTCATGGGCTGGGCACATATGTGTTTGATTATAATAAACTATAAACATAGAAGAGTTAATTCTTCCTGTCTTTTTTCCCTTTAATAACACTGTTTTAGGATTATGATAATCACCTACAAGCAGTGATATGTGTAGCCTGACATTCTGATTGTTCTGAGGGCAGAACTGAACATTTTGGTTTCCTCTAATCAACCTTAAGTAGCCACAAGGCTTATTCTAGAGGGAAAGATTTGGGACTGGGTTCTCTCTAAAAAAACAGAAAGTGTGACATGAATTTATTTTAAACCAATTTAAAAACCAGTGTATGAAGGAAGATGTTGCTTGAATTGTGCGCAATGTAATGTGCAAACCAAAGGCAACTTAGAAAGTAATGGAAAGGGTATTAAAACTGCTCCTTTTTTTTTTTAAACAGGCTCATGCACAATTAGTTCGAGAAGTTGATGTGGAGAAGGTGTCTGCTTTTGAGAATCCATACGTAGATGCAATAAAGAGTTTATGGAATGATCCTGGAATCCAGGAATGCTATGATAGACGACGAGAATATCAGTTATCTGACTCTACCAAATAGTGAGTATCCATCCAGGAGGCCCTTTGGGTCTTTCTGTTTACTTTCTTTCATGTAGAGGTGCTCAGTGGTTATCCTAACTTCTACATTCTGTGCTATGTATGGAGTATCCAATTCAAACTTCAATGTTAGGAAGTATCAATATTAAATTTGTTATAAGAGACTGGTATCATGACTCAGAGAATATTTTATTTACTGTTTTTTATTTGAAAAACAAACTGAAGACTGTAGGAATTTGATTTCACCATCCTGGAGGTTCCAAATTGCAAACCATTGTTTCTCAAACACATAAGCCATTGTGATCTGAAATCATGTAATTTTTGATATAAATTCCGATCTTATTTGTGTGCTGGAAAATACCGACATACATTAGAAACTGCAAACAAAAATATGTTTGATTATGGCTTCCTAAAACATCAGTCTCCCTAGTTCCCAGTTTTCAGACCCAGAACCTTGACTGCTTTCTGAGAGCCACTATTGTGTTGATGGATAGGTTTTCCTTGGCATGAAAATTGCATGAGAGTCTAATTTTGCATGCATTCCAGAATTACTTTGTGAGCTGTCAATCACACCCATGTGTCCTGGGAAAGATGTGAATCCTACAGAGATCTGTTAGTTCTCTAGATTAAATCTTGCCTAACAGAAAGTGAGTAAAGATTTGGCAGTCATTGGATTAATGTAATCAATGTAGTCAGCAATCTAGATAATCAGGCGCCTGAAAAATGATGGGGGGTTTTTTTGGTAGTATTTAGCCAGATTTCTGTCTACATTAATTATATTAATCCAGCATTTGCCTCTTATTTTGTTTTTGGACGGACAGAAGAATGGGTGGAAAATATTCAGCAGCCTTAGGCCAGTTTGTGGGATAGAGGGACCCACTGGGTGAGAGCAGGTCTTAGGGAAGAGAAGGAGCCAGTAGGCTGCCGAGCATCAGTAGGGCATGGAGGATCCCAGGGCTGCAGGGCTGTGCTTTTCAATAACGTTATCGTGCTTTCACCCTAGTTCCAGGCACTATTGTGAGATAAGTTATGATTCACATCAGCCACAGAACTGTTGCCTGGTCAAAATATTTGTTGTATTCTTATGGTAAATTGGAATTACATAATTCTGGAATGTGCCATGGAATGTTCATGAGCACCATGCCTATCATATTTTAACTAACATTAACTCGCTTGCAGGCTTCCTTCCTTATTTTCCTCTTCATTCTCCCACACCTTCCCAGCGCTCTCCTCGCCTCGCTCCTGCTTTCTCGTCTGCTGATCTGCTGCCTTCAGCCCTTCCACCCGTTCTCCCTCCCTCGCTCCCTCCCCCTGAGCTCCCACTATGTAAGTTTCTGTGAGGACAGGGATGAAAGAGGATCCATTCAGCTCTCATCTGTTCCAGATTCTGCCCCCTCAACCTTTGACCAGCTGTCTTTCCTTTATTTCCTGCCCCCTCTGTCCTTCTGTTTCCTTTGCCATTTCAAATATCATCACTCTTCCCATGTTGCTGCTGCATTTTATCTGTCATTCTCCATCCCTGGTCATTATGATCGCCTCCTGTCTGCTAGTGTACCCCTCCGTCCTCATCTTTAGTTTTCTCTGGCCCTTCTTCAAGTCTTCTCCCCTTCTCACATGGCCACAGTGATGCCTTGCCCTGGCCTTTGCTAACTAAATAACTCTTCGTAATAAAGTTATACTTACTAATAAATCTTCCACCTCTCATTGTGTTCCTTCTAGTCCCTATCTTTTTACTTTTATTTTAAATCTTATCTCTTCCCCTCTCCCCCTGTTCTACTCCTTACCTGTAACCATCTTCCTACAGAGAGATCTTGCTGTTGGGAATCAAAGCACCAATGTCTAATAATTACGTGCTTACCCTCTCCCTTAGGGCTTAGGGCTCTCCCTTAGGATTTGCCTCCTGCTCCTCAGATGGACCCTCTGAGAGATTCCTGTTTGTATCAAGTACACTTGTGTCAGCTACTGTAGATGCATCCTTGAGACAAGGCTCCCTCACATCTCTGACCTTCCCTCAGTTTAGATTTGTGGATTTCTAGATGTGCACCCATTAGTTAGTATGAGACCCGGATGCTGCCATATCTACTTGCTTTAGGGCAAAGAGCTATCCTAAACAGTTTCTCCAGGCCCCTGTCAGTTTTGTGATCCTGGGAAAGCCTCACCTTAGAATTCTGTCAGTACAGGAGAGTCCACCATAGAAACATGCCTGCTCCTTGGGCACAGGCCTTATGATAGAGCCAGACCAAAATGTGGGTGCACCTGACCCAGGCTGATCTAAACCCCTTCAAATGATTATTCTTTAAGTAGTTCTACTTTATCCTAGTAGGGATGGTGAGAAATTGATTTTCTAAATTATGTACATGTGGGTATATGTGTATGTACATAGTATTGTTTAGCTTGCTCCTATCTCTCATGGATTTACTATAAACTGGAAGTTACATTGTGACTAGAATGCATGGTAAGTCGTGTTGTACACTGGTTTACCTACGGTTGGTGAAGTTAGGATTGACCATAGTATTAGGGTAGTGATGTTCTCCATTATAAAGTTATATTTTTCCTCTTCTGGGCTTACTTTGTCACTGAGCAGTCTCCAGTTCCCTATCAACTCTTCACCTAATGCTTTTCATTCCAACTGATACTTCTTGCCTGATCCCATAATTCATTCCACTGGAATTTGTAAAAGAATGGTTTTCTACTTTTATCAGTTGGTATACGTTGGCATTGTTCTGTGAAGTAGAAGCTTTTCCCTTCAGTGGGTGCTATTTGATTACCCTGATATACATTTCCTACTGGAAAGGTATATGTTTTTCAGTCTTTTGTTTAAATCAGTTATTCGTTACATAGACTAAATAGATGGTGACCATATAAAAATCATCTAAACCAGGACACTTTAAGAAGAGAGGGGTAGCTGTTAATAATTAACACTAAAATAACAGGCATAAACTGGGAATTTCCAGGACAAGCAGAAACATTTGGTCACCTTAGTTGAATGAAACTGGGAAGTTGGTTTGTTGTCTTCGTTTTCTCTAGAATATGCTGTTTACTTCAAGGGGAGTTAGAACCAAATTATTCCTGCTGGTTGTATAGGAGACCTGAGTTAACTAGCCCCATGTTTCTGATCTCTCCCAGGGATGTTTAGCACTTTTTGTAGAGCAGTGCTCAAACAGCCTGGCTGGCCTGCCTTAATCACGCTGTGCTGGAAAGCCTTAGTATCAGAGTCACCTTCTTCTCCCCAATCTTAGTAATGGGCACTTTACCTTTTCTTTAGCCAGGTAAACCAAATAAACCCAGAGACAGGACCTGCGGCCTCTTGGATTCATTTATTTGTTGCTGTGTTCCATATGCTTCTCCAGTGGGGTCACAGCAGATGCTCTGTGAACTCAGAGATAGCACTGGCCAGGATGTGGGTCCCATGTATTGAACATCACCAATTCCCAGTACTGAACTCATTTCCACAAAAGAACTCAAAATAATTTTTTTCTGTGCTTCAGATAGCTGTTACCCCTTTTCCTATCTCACTTTATTTGTGTACATTCCCCTGTTGTATCTTCAGTATTTTATTTTACCTCCTTTCCTTCATATGAAGCATCCATGTAGTTGTTTCTTTTTATATAATTGAAATAAAACATACTTCACTGATATTCTGGACCTAATTTCTTATACAATATCACCACCTTACAGAAATCTTTCTCAACTTGGGACCAGCTTCTTGAAGTACTGACTGTCTCTAGTGAGTTCTTCAGTTTAGATTTAAAGGATGCATAGATTTCTAATCTCTAGCAGCATGGGAATTGAGACTGCTGTGAACAACACCTGCTTAAAGGTTGTAGCATAGCCACTATCTCACTGTTGTGAGATCTAGTGCAAGCCACTTCCCAAGAATACTGAGAGTAGAGGCCAAGCATGCCTCTCTTCTTCTTTTCTATGTGATGAACTCCTTATTCATCCTCTAAGACCCAACTCAGGAATCACCCTTTCTGAAAGCCTTGCCCAACATCAAAGACAGTGAGTCACTATGTCATCTGTCTTAGCACTTTGTACATATTTCTGTCATATCTATTTCCACATTTACTAAAGTGTCCCTATTCTCTGTCCCCAGTGCCTAACAGTGACCACTCTTTGTGTCTGATCTTCACAAATGATTGTTCCATGAAATAATAGATGGGTAATTTCCACTATTTTAATGAACCATGGTATAGGCACTATATCTCTTTGGCTGTTATAGATGAACTATGAAGTTTCAGAGCTGAAGGCATTCAACTCTTTTATTCCTGCTGTTTTTGAAGGTCTGGTATCTGAAAAGCTCTACTTTCAAAAACAGTAATAACTACTACTTACTGAACACTTACTATATGTTAGATTCTGTGCTTAGCCATTTACGTGCATCATCTCATTTAGTCCTCAAAGCCACCCACAGTGATAGATACTACTTAGCATCCCCATCTAACAGAGAAGGAAACTACATCTTAGAAAGCCTGAGTAATTTGTTCAAGGTCACACAATTAGTAGGTGATAAGAATAGGAGTAGAATTCAAATTTGCTTATTGCAGAGCCTGGGCTTATAACCACTGTGAAATGGTCACAGAGGATGGATGGAAGGTGGATAATTTATAGTTGTTAAACAGATAGTCATATGAATAATGATAGATGAATAGATAGATAAATACGATGTTTTATAAATCACTTGTCATGAAAGGTACAAATTTTTTATTAATAATTTATAATAAGATGGGAAATTCCAGACAGTGGATAAGCAGTTTGGGATAAGTTCGCAATTGGCTTTAATTTGGTGCATTCTTCCAATTCTGTTTAATGAAAGAATAAAAAGCATTCTAAGATCCTGGAGAGTTTTGTAGATTCTTTTATTAACTTTTTTTGTTATTGGTAAAAAGCCTGCGGGCTCTGAATATACTTAGATAAAGTGCAGAATAAGCAGATGGCTGTAGGTTTGCTTTTTTTTCCTTGGGGTTTACTACCTGCTTTAATATACTAAGACATCAGGTCAA